GCCGCGCGGGCGGTCGGCGCGGTGGCCGCGGCGACGCGCGTTCTGATGATCCTTCTTTCGCGCTTCTCATGCAGTTCGAGTCTCTTGATGGCAAGTTGGCAGCCTCGCTGCGTTCGCTTCTGGCTACTCGCGATTGCATGCTCGTGCCTGCAGACGCGCCCGATAGTTCCGAGTTCCGAGCGCGCCAGCGAGCGGCCGGCCAGCATCCCTCGCCGTCGCCCGCCCTGTCTGTTGATGCCGCCGCTCAAGCCATCTTGGAGGGGATCGGCTCGGCGCGGGCGCCTCGCCGTCAGCAGCGGGCGCTCGCCCAGCCACTCTTGCTCCTGCGGGGGGGCGGCGGGGGGCGGGCGCGGGGGGGCGCGGGGGCGGGGCTGCGCAGTCTCAAGGCGGTGATTTGCCAGTTGCTGGTCAGTTCTCTTCTTTCCTCCAGTCCAGCGCCTTGCCACCGACGAAGTTTGGGGCGTGTTTTTGGCGCCCGAGGGGCTCTCCAGGAAGCAGCGCGGCAGTGTCCTTGGAGGCTGCGATGATCCAGTTATTGGGGCAATCAAGTCTGGTCCTTTTGAGACCGCTGGAGCCAGCTCCTCCTCCACGCCGCGGGGTCGACGGGGGGCGGCGCAAACGGTGGCCCATCGTCGCGGCGAGCGTCGGCGGCCAGGTTGGCCTCGGCGCGCGCTATTCCAAGCCCATTCGCAGCTGTGTTTTGTAGCTGCAGGAGTCGCGAGCTTTGCAGTCCGCGTCCAAGTCTCTGGAGACCAAGATGCGTGCTTCTGGGTGGGCAGCCTCAGCGCGTGCTGCTTTTCCGTCGCCAGGCAATCCATCAGGGGGCTTAGTCGCTGCGTCGGTCGAGCGAGTTGGTTCGGCGCCGCCGGATCAGTGTCAGTTGACTGTAGCCGGTCGAGTTTCTATGCATCGCGTTGGCGGCTTGCTGCGCTGTGGTTTCGTCGTCGTCAATCTGCTCCTCGCGCGCTCCGTGGGCGCCGGCAGGCAGAATTGGTCCATCCTGTCCAAGGTGGGAGCGCGGCTCAAGACGGCTGGGCTTGGTCATCGACGGTGGCTGGAATTTCCCCGCCGAGGATCTGCTCGAGACGTCGCGGGTCGTTGCGATGGGCGCCGTTCCCCGCGCGCAGGCCCGCCACGAGGTGCACTGGCGATTCCGTTGTTTCGCGCCAGATTGCAGCTGCAGCCGTGGCCGAAGAGGTTCAGAATGTCCCCACCTCGCCCCGCCTACCTGTTGGGCTCCTTCTTCCCCCCGCGGGGCCCCCTCGTGAGTTCAGGCGCGCCCGGGCATGCCCGGGCCCCCGTCGGTCGCGCTGCGCCCCCCCCCCCTTTCCGATCCACGGGGCCCCTGGCCCAGGACGGGGCCGAGTGGCTGCGCGCGTTTCAAATTTCTGGGGCGCGGGGGGGGCGGGGGCGCGCTGCGCGGGGCACGTCGGTGGGGATCTGCCCCATCCAGGTTCGATGGGGGGCCCTTCCACCCCAGCCCCGCCCGGGTTCCTCGCGCCCCCCCCGTGGCCCGCTGGCGGCGCGAGGCCCAGAGTTTGTTGCCTGCTTGCGTCTGGGGCCGACGGGCCCACTCAGGTCTCGGCTAGTTGCGCGCCCCCCCCGTCTCCGTCGCCCTTCCGACGCGGGCGAGCTCGCCGCGTGGGCGGCTGCGTCTCGGCAAGCGCATGCGCGTTCTGCCGCCCCCCCCCCCGTCCGCGCGCGCGCGCCGGCGTCGCGGGCGACGAGGCCAAGCGGCGGCGCGGCCTCTGTGCTCGGGCCATGGGGCGCGACTGCGGGAAGTGAGTTGGTGATTATTCGTCTGGGGGGCGGGTCGGCCCTCTACAAGTTCTCTTCCCCCCCCGCCCCGCGGCGGCCCGATTCCATCCACCCCGGCGCCATTCGCCCGCGCGCCCCGCTCGAGTCGGTCGTTCCGTTGGAGGATGAGTGGAGGTGGCGGTGGCGGTCGGGGTCGGGCGCGAACCCTTCCGTTGGCCTGGGCTTGGTGGGCCCCCTCCCAGGCCTGAAGTTGTCGACCTTGTTAAAGTTCTTAAGAACGTTGAGTTTTCGTCGGGTATGGATTTTGATTGGGTCTCGCCGCGATCGCCCTCGCTGCTGCCGCCTACGGCGATCGGGGCTCTGTGCGATGCCATCAACGACATTAAACGAAAGCGCGAGTGGCCGACCGCGTGGAATCACACCGTCGTCGCCCCTCAACTCACGGGCTGCGCGCGTCCGTCGGGGCTTCTGCGCAGCCTCGCCCTGGCGCAGCGTAGCCCGATGCGCCCTCCCATCCGCGGTTGACAGTCTGTCAAGTCTGGTCTTTCGGTTGGTCCACCCACGGTAAGTTGTCGGAAAAGTGCGTGGGAATCCAAGCGGATTGGTCCGAGCATTCCACGTGCGAGACTAGGGCTTTGGCCGCCCTCCTCCTTGACCTCGAGAAAGCTTTCGAGCTGGCGCAGCATCGCCGCTTGATTGCCGCCGCTGCGGCCTCGGGCGCACCCGCGCGGCACGCGCGCCTTCCTGTGCAGATCTATCGAGCGCCGAGAGTCATCAATGTCGGGGGTGATTTTTCTCTGCGCTCGGCAAAGCAGACAGTTGTTCCGGGCGCGCGTTCCCCAGGCGCGTTGCAGCCCATTAGTTCAGGTCCTGTTGGGCGCTGCGCAGGCCGAGCGGCCCGCCGCGCAGCTGCCCGTCAACGCGGGCGACTTCGGCCTCGCGCGCTGGGGCGCCGAAGCCGGGGTCGCGGGCCCAGCGCTTGCAGCGAGTAGGCCCGCGCCTTGCCCTCGACAAGTTTCGAGCCCTTGGCAAGGCGTCGTCTGTGCGCGACGCCTTTGCCGCTGAGCTTAAGAGCCTCCAGCCCCTGCCTGTTCGGTCTAAGCGGAACTTCGGGGTTGGTTTTGGCGCTGATTTCGTGGCCGGTAGGGGCACTGCCAGGGGGCGCGTTGCTAATGCGCGGCCGCGTAGGGTTCGCATGGGCACGCTTCAAGGGTCGAAGCCCCGTCGCCGCGCGCTGGGGCGCATGGCTCGATGGCTCGATCTGCGTTGGAGGTGTCTGTTATGTTCGGGATTGCCGTTATGGCACTATGGCAAGGCGCTGGAGAATCTTGGAGGCGCTGCGGGCAATCTTCAGGACCAGCATCAGGATGACAGGTCGCGGGCCCTGTCTCTGCTCTCCTCCGTGCCCCGTCTGGGCCCCATTTACAGGGGCACTAACGCCTTCCTCCACGCTCTCTGGCACCGGTGGCTCCCCCCTTGAGGTCCTCGATTTAGACCTGCGTGAGTCCCATTGGCTTCTCAGCACGTTGGAGCACCCCTGGTCCTCCATCAGAGGTCCCTTTGCGCCCTGCGGGCTTTTCTCAGGCGCGTGGTGATCACGGCTACCTCTGTCACCTCGTGGATCAGGCCCGACGGGGTTGACGTCGACCCGTCCGACTTCTGCCCCGACACCATCCAAAACATTGTGTACAGGGCCATCGAGGCTTGGCAGCATGACGAAGTGGCTGAGCATCTCCAGGCCCCTGGGGTCTCCCGCGGTTTGCTTCTCAGCCCCTTGAAATTCTCGCTGGGTAGTAGAAGTAAGCTCGCCGCCGTGCAGCAGGTCCACCTCAGGAGTTCCGCTGTGGGAGGGCAGTGGCCTTAGAAGAGGCAGTGAGCTGCGGGTTATAACGCCACGCCGTCTTGTTTGTTATGCCCCACTGTTGACAGGCACGTTGGTTCACAGGCATTGTTCCTGCTCCAGGTTGGACGCCATGGAGGATGTGCCGTCTCTCCGGGCCAGTGCTGCAGCCGCCGCTGACAATCCTGTGATCGCCACTGTTTTTGCTGAGCTATGCCTGATTCCCCTCCCTGCTCTGCGTCGGCCGCTTCCAGGGCCTCCAGTTTGCTGGTGTTTAGTAGGCCCTTCATAATTCAGTGGGGACATCTACACTGGCGATTCTGTTTCTGAGGCGGAGTATCCCAGTCTGGCTTGTGTTGGATGGGGGTGCGCGGTGCTTCGTTCAGACCGCCGCGAGATATCGTCTTTCTACCCAGGGCCGCTGCTGGACCCCTTGCAGTGCACCAGTGCTGCAGAGCTCGCTGCTGTCATTCAAGTCTTACGTTTCGCGACCCTGCCAGCCTGCCAGCCAGATGTTTCACTGACTCTGCGTTCGTGGCCGACGGCTTCTTGGAACGTGGGCGAGAAGCCACCACCTCCTGCATCTCTGTTGACGCGCACCTGTGGAAGGAGCTGTGGCTGTTGGTGGAGGACTGGGGCGGGGGATTCGAAGTAGAAAAAATCAAGGGGCATGCGACCGTTGTTGACGTCCAGATGGGGCGTACCACGGCACGCCACCGTTAAGGTAACGCGGAAACCGATGAAGCGGCCAAGAGTGCTGCTGCTTTCGCGCGTGTGAGTGAAGCCGCCATCGTTCAGTTGCAGGCTCGTCACAAGGTCCTCAAGATATGGGTCTCCTGGATTGGGCGTTTCGGGGACGAGCTTGCCGACTGTGGGCACCCTAAAAAAGGCACGCCCGCGGGAAGCCCCCTCAGACCCAGCTTGTCTTTGTTCGTGACCCCACTCCCGACGACGTGAGCAGGGTGTTGGCCGAGCAGGCCAAGTTGAGTGCAGGTTCTAACTTGCATGACCTTGTCAAGCTCGAACTACAGGATGGCCCCATCGTGGTTGGATGCTCTCGCTGTGTTTGCTTCGCCGCCGCTCGGGTCACGAGCCTTTCGAGTCCGTGCCCTCCTCAGGTTATTGATTGGGCTAGGAAGGTGCTCCAACGTTTGGCGTGCAAGCGTGAATTTCGTTTCGGTGGCAAAGTCTATCGGCTTCTTTCGTTGGATTGGATCAGATCCCTCTCTGAGCGTCGCTAAGGGCGATTGTAAGGTGCGCCCTTAGCTACGCTGTCTTTCAGTGGCTGGAGTGCTATAGACCCTGTAGCGGCCCAGGTTTGTGCCCAGGAGGAGGAGGAGGAGGAGGAGGAGGCGGAGGAGCGGAAAGGGAGTCGGCCGCTGGAGCGCCCGCGCCGCAGCAGGTCTTAGCGCAGGCTGTGCGGCAGCAGGTACGGCAGGCTCCAGGCGGGTCGCCGCTGGGGCAGGACTCCGCGCCAGGGGTCTGCCCACGTCGACCAGCAGGGCCGCCTACGACCCGACTCGGTGCGATTCGATCCGCTGGCCGGGGCAGCGACTCCGAGTCGACTCGATTCGATTCGGTTCGATTCACCGGTATTTGCCAGAGCCGGCCAGGCGATCTGATTTCGATTCGATTCGGGACGACGCGACGGCGGTCGGATCCGTTTTCGGTATGATCTTAGTTCCGGTCATTGCTGATAGGGGCCGAAAAGCCCACCCCGCCAAGGAACGTGCGGATTCGTTATCGGGAGCATCTCGAAGATTTGTAGGCGATGTATCGCGGATTCCAGGTCGATATTTCCACTCGTGGGGCAGCCCCCCGCTGGGGTTGCTCCTCAATGTCGAGGGGCTCAGGGTGTGGACGAATTCTTCACGCTTCGCGTATCCCCACCAGCCCATCTCAAAACAGCAACTCTTGCGAAGCATGCCGACAGTCGTGTTGTTCAGGCGTGTTTCCGCCTGCCCCCGCATATCTCCTCTGTTCCTCCTTCCTCCCGCCTCCTTGTACATCCTCCTTGTGGTGGGAGCGGGATGAGGACGAGGCGGAGGAGGAGGGAGAGAAAGCGCTCCTCGTGGTTTGAGTCGTTAGGGGTTTCTCGTCCTGGTGTGAGTCGTTCGGGCCCTTCTTCCTGGTGTGAGTCGTTCGGGCTCTTCGTGGTGTGAGTCGTTCGGGCTCTTCGTCCTGGTGTGAGTCGTTCGGGCTTCTCGTGGTGTAAGTTGTTCGGGCCCCTCGTCCTGGTGTGAGTCGTTCGGGCCCCTCCTCCTGGTGTGACTCGTTCGGGCTCCTCGTGGTGTGAGTCGTTCGGGGCCCTCGTCGTGGTGTGAGTCGTTCGGGCTCCTCGTGGTGTGAGTCGTTCGGGCGCCTCGTCCTGGTGTGAGTCGTTCGGGCCCCTCCTTCTGGTGTGAGTCGTTCGGGCTCTTCGTGGTGTGAGTCGTTCGGGCCCCTCGTCCTGGTGTGAGTCGTTCGGGCTCCTCGTTGCGTGAGGCGTTCGGGCACCTCGTCCTGGTGCAAGTCGTTCGGGCCCCTCGTAGTAGGAGTAGTTGGGAGCCTCTTGGAGGCCTTTTGGGGCGTCTTGGGGGCCTCTTGGCGGCCCCAGGGGCTTCTAGGAGCGTCTTGGGTGCCTTGGGGGAGCCTCTTCGGGCCTCTTGGGAGCCTCTTGGAGGCCGTTTGGGGCGTCTTGGGGGCCTCTCGGCGGCCCCAGGGGCTTCCAGGAGCGTCTTGGGTGCCTCGGGGGAGCCTCTTGGGGCCTCTTGGGAGCCTCTTGGGGGCCTCTTGGGGGCCTCTTGGAGGCCTCTTGGGGCCTCTTGGGGCTCTTTGGGAGGAGTCTGGGAGGTATCTTGGGGCCTACTTTCGGGCGATCGATCAAAGATGGGGGGGGGGGGTTCTCCCCCCCCCCCGTCGGGGCCAGAATCCTCGTGAGGGGTGTCGTTTTTTAGCCCTCCGAGGAGTCGAAAAAGACCCCTCCAACGACCCGCGGAACGCCCTCTCCAGGCCCAGGGGGAGGGGGTAGGGGGAGGGGTAAACCCCTCCCCGAAGGGGAAGAAGGAGGGTTGAGAACAGAGCGGGCTCTCTAAACCACTCACGCCCAAAGGGCTGGTGGGATTCCGTCCTCGGGGGGTGGTCGGGAACGCACCTCCAAGTCGGTGCATCTGGGCAGATCTCTTGCGTGGGAGGACGCCGAGCGTACCGTGGCGACTACCGGGTCGTTGCAGCCGCCCTTCCCGCCGCCCACGCGGATGCCCGTGGTCCAGGACTCGCAGCTCACCTTCGAGGACTTGCGGAACATGTCGACCGAGGACATCCGCAACGAGCTCATCTCGCGCAGGCACGAGTGCAACACCCTCGAGGAGCAGCTGGAGGAGAAGCGGCAGTTGGTGCTGAAACTGATCGAGGAGGCGAACCTCTGCAATGCCGAGGTCGCCTCTCTCCAGCAGACCGTGCAGCACGCGCAGAAGAAGGCCAACAAGCAGGACCGCGAGTACCACGCCCTGCTTGAAGATAGGAACTCACGAGCGGCGAACATGTCCGCATCCTCGCCCTCGCGGTCTGGATTTTGGGGCGCCATCCCGCGGATATGTGGTCGCACGGATACGTTCCGCGCGGGGCATCCGCGACAAGAGCGCCTCGTATCCGCGGGATCGCGGCCCACGGGGCCCAGCCCGCGCGGCCGCGGATACGGATATGTTTTTCGCCCACGAGGGACAGCTGGGAGGCTGCGGCGAAACAGTTTCAGAAGACGCTCAAGGAGAAGGAGGAGAAGGTGACGAAGTTGTTCCAGGAGCACCAGCAGGATACCAGCGGCAATGCTGCCATGGACCAAGTCGACCAGCAGGGCTGGAAGCTGAAGGTCATCGCGCCCCGCCAGCATGAGATACGGCATTCGGTGTTCTTGGTATTGCAGCGCCGGCAAAGCGACACCCTTGACAAGGCTCGAGGGGGAATAACAGCAGACACATAAGCTTTCGGTGGTCGGCGCGGAGTTATTGGATCTGCGCTGGACGCCCCTGGCGGCGTCTCCGGCGCCGTCCCTGGCGCGCTCCGCGCGCCAGTCCACGACATCCGCACGGAGCTCCGAAAGTTTATGTTCGTGCCGCTTTTTGCTCCTCTGCAGGTCACCCTGGGCCAGGGCCTGGCGCACCACTTCGCCATCTCTGCGGGCCGCATCGACATAGTAGAGGACGCGGCGCGCGGGGCCGAGGGCGCCGCAGACGGCGACCTCTCGAGGGCGACGAGCTCCTCCGGCGGGCACAGCGACCTCAACAGCCAGGGCGCTCCGCACAGCCGCAACGCTCGGATGTCGGGTTTCCTGGACATTCGCAGGGGGCACCTATGCGCCAACACCATGCCTGGCCAGGGCCATCCTCAGAGGAGGAAGTGATACCGATACCGCGACCTTTACCTTGTTTCTGCTTTGGCGGGCCTCTTGGGAGGCCCTCGTCACCACGGCTGGATTCGCTTCAAAACTCTGGTCAGAACGCACCGGGGAAGAGGTCCGTGGGGTGGCGGTATCAGTACTCTTTCGTTCCCAGATATCCTGGGCGTTGGCACCGGACAAAAACGCAGTCTTGGCCCAGGCGGGTCTGTGCGCCATCCCAGGGCCCAGGATGGCCCGGCGAGGCGCGGTGGTGGTGCTGAGGTGCCTCTTGCGGGCAGGACAGCCAGGAGGCCTCCCAGTCCCAGACCTTCAGGCGTGACCTCGTGCTCGTCAACATCGCAGACGTAGAGACGAACGACGCTGGGGAGGTATCCCGGAGCACCATCTCCGCCCTGGACGTGCTGAACCAGGTCCGCAACGACATGCTGCGGGGGCACCGGGTGGGCCCGATCGATGGCATCATAGTGGACGCCGTATTCATCAATCACGGGGACATGGTGCTCCTCCACGGAGAAATTGTGTATTGGAGGATAGGGGCCTTGAAGTTTTCCCGCTGTTTGCATCCTCCTGAGGCCCTCCCTGGGCCCAAGGACCTTCACTCGGAGGTCGCGCAGATTTCTTAGATTTGTGCTGTAACCCACTGGTGGTGCCTCTGGCGCCGTCCCTGGCGCGCTCCTCGCGCCAGAAAGGGGTGTCCAGCGCAGATGGAAGAAATCTGCGCGGACATGCCACATGAACATTATAATGTTATCTCGGGATGAAAAGCTGGTCTCCAGCACTCGCTTCCGCCAGGTCGGGCGTTGCGTAATGGGGGGGCGATGAAAGGGGGGGGGAGAAATGAGAAAGGTGTACCTTTTGAACCCTAAGGGGGCTACAGAGGCCAGGACCCGGGCCCCAAAAGGGGCACGAAAGGTGCACGTTCGCCCCGCCCCAATTCCCACACCTCTAATTCATCGCCCCCCCGTTAAGCAACTCCCACCCAGAGCCCTTTTCACCAATGCGCAGGTGCTGCCGTTCGAGTGGCCCTCGGCGCAGTCGACGCTCCTCATGCGGGAGGGGCGCGTACTCGCGGGGAAGCACAGCGTGATCACGGTCCACGAGGTGCGGGACCCGTACATCCTGCGCCTAGTGGCGTTCGATTCCGAGATCGGGCGCGAGTTCATCCTCTACCTGAACAGCCGGGACGTGATGCTGCTTCTGGATACGCGCGACAGCGAGGCGGTGGCAAGCGTATCGGAGGAAGAGCTGGAGCTGTCGACGCACGGCGCCCGCGCACCGGCGGGCGAGGATTTCCAGCACCTGCTGGGGCCCTGTGTGCAGCAGTTCCGCCAGTGCTCCACGGTCTCCAGCGGCGATCGGAGGGCACCGGCCATACACGCCTGCACCGGTCCTGGCCAGGCCGTTCCCGGGCCCAGGACCGGTGCGTATATGCCTCACTGCCCAAGCCAGGAGAACGGCGCTGGAGCCCCCTGGCGGCGCCTCGGCACCGCCCCTGGCGCGCTCCGCGCGCGAGGGATGGGGTCCAGCGCCGCTCCGAAAAATCCGCGCAGACCTCCGAGTTCCTATGTTTACGTCGTTGTTCGTCCTCCTGGTATAATTGGCGCTCTCCCAGGCGACCTCCTGGACGGGATCGTTAGCTCCCTGTCCTTCAGCGTCTTCAATGGCCAGCAGATTCTCGTGGCCAGCGAGATGCGGATCCCGCTGGCCCTGCAGCCCCAGCGCGCGGAGTCGACCCAGCTGGCGCTGCTCGACCCCGGGGCGCCGCCCCCCCAGCTGCGGGCGCACCAGTCGGCCGCCCTGGCGGAGGCCGGCGTCACGCGCGGCCTGAGGCTCAGAGGAGGAAAAGGTGCCGATGCCGCTGCCCTTTGCCTCGTCTTCGCCTTTCTGGGCCTCCTGGCAGGCCCTCGTCGATACCGCTGGATTCGGCTCGAAGTCCTGGCCAGAACGCGCCCCAGGAGAGGTCCAGGGAGTAGCGGTATCGGTGCCGTTTGGGTTTCCCAGAGGCCCCAGCAGCGCCAGGCCCGGCGGCTCTACGAGGACGTGGTGGGGTTCGAAGGCCGCCTGTGCATCTTCAGCCTGATTCACACGACCACGGAGGACCTCTCGGAGGACGTGCTCCGGGCCTCGCTCTACTACCCGAAGACCACCGCTACGATCCAGGCGACTCTTGCGGACCCCATGCTGTCCGACCGCCTGCGCATCGTGAGCGAGGCTGGCGAGCTCGACGTCTCCGACGCGTTCCACGCTGTGGTCGTCGTGGAGGAGGTCGTATACCCTCCCGCTTTCATCGTGCGGCTCACGTCGGTCAGCCTCGAGGACGAGCACTCCGTCTCGCCCCAGGACTTGGGGGCGGCGCCGGCCAACTGCACACACGACCGATCCTGGCACCAGGCCAACCCTGGGCCAAAGAACGGTGCACACGCCCTCCTGGCCAAGCCAAAGTGGCGTATTCTTTGGTCGCGCACGCATCGCACGGGAGAGGAAAAGGAAGTGCAGGGCGGCCGCGGAGAGGAGGGAGCGGCCACCTCACCGTGTAATGAGGTCTTCAGGGGGCATGCTGCGGCCCAGGCTCGAAGGAGTAGGGCACAGGAGGGAGCACACACTGACTCGACGGGCAAGAATCGGCTCATGCTCGCCAGCTGCGGCGCTGGAGGCGCCACCAAGGTGGGCCCGGTGCCGACCTAGGAAGTCCGCGCGGACCTCCGAAAGTTTATGCCCATGCCGCTCCAGTCCCTCTACCAGCCATGGGCGCAGGTCTGGCGGCCGGGATCGGTGTTGGTGTATAGCTCGGCACCCCCTTGCCAGGAGGCGAGCAAGCCGCACACGCACATCATCAGGGTCTCGAAGGACTCACGGCCTCCCAGATGGGTTCCGAGAAGATGGGGTCGGAGGATCGCGCCGCATCGCCGATGCATCGGCGATTCGGCTCGATGTGGATCCCGACTTTCTCGACGCTGGCGTCGCCGATACATCGCCGACCTCGCCGATGCGATCCACCGGTCCCATCTACTCGGACCCCATTTTGGAGGCCTCTGAGGACGGCGCCAACGCGGTCTGCGTGCCCGACATGTCCTTCGCGGTCGGGCCGTCGACGATGCGCAGCAAGCTGCTGTGGTGCATCGGGCTCACCACGCCCGTGCAGGGGCCGAGGGAGACCCTGGTCAAGCTCCCGGGCATGGACACCGTCACCGCAGGTTCCTAGAGGAGCAACACACATACGGTCAGGAACCTTTGCTTAGCGTGTCCCGCCGCCATTTCTGGCCCACTACTCAGAGGAGTAAAATATACCTACACCGCTACCCTTCCCTCGCTTTCCCTTTTCTTTTGGACTTCCTGGCAGGCCGTCGCCACCGCTGGATTCGCTTCGAAATTCTGGTCAGAACGTACCCTTGGGGAGGTCCGGTGAGTAGCGGTGTCGGTACCTTTTGGTTTCTCCACATGCGGTCAGAGACATTTGCTCAGCGTGTCGCGCCGCCAGATCTGGCCCACAACGATTCGGCGTGACATGTTATTTACGACAGTCCCCAAGCGTCAGCGTCCTGAGAATTTCCCAGCCTTCCACCCCGCGGAGCGGAGCGACACGCTATCCTCTTGCAGGGCACAGTGTGTCGCCAGTGCCGCCGCCGCAGCACGCCAAGCAACAGTTCCCGACCGTACAGTACGGTGGGGGCGTTCGCTAAGGCATGTGCCCAGGAGGATTCCTTACCTGATGAGGGTGGCGGTGATATCTATGGCCACTCCACGTTTGGGGTTCCACCGGCTTCCAGACCCTGATTCCTTATCCAATGCTTCCTTCCCCAAAGCCCTCACTCTATCGCTACCATTGGCCTCTCCTCGATCGCGTCCTACTCTTGGGTCTCATGGGTGGGGCCCCGTCGCTGCGCGCAGCTGGATTCTCCTCGGAAGCCTCGTCCGCGGCAGCGGCATCTCGGAGAGACTCGATCTATACACCACGTCGCTTGGTTGGCCAACTTGGCATCGCTCGGACGTGTGCATGTTTGTTCGGTGAGGACCATTGAGGAGCATCCTGGACCGTCTCGCGAAAACAAACGCACGAAACGCACAATGCATTGGGATTGGACGTCCGAGCGACGGCGAGATGAGCCAGGGAGTTCGGCGAAGGAATCCAGTGTGTGGACGCTCCAGCGCCCCACAGGTTGGGAAGATGGTGCGTCTATACACCGAGCGCTGTGGCCGACCCAGCGACGTGGCGTCTACATCGAGCCCCTCCCAGAGTGTTCTGGAGAGTAGGGGTGCCCAGGACACCCATGAATTGCATACAACGTGTAGCTTCAGACGTCGCGCGGAGTCTTGGGTTGGCGCTGTGGCCCCCTCCCGCACCCCCTCCCTGGCGCGTGGGGCGTCGCCGGTAGCAGCGCCTCCGGCGCCGCCAGAGGGGGCGGGGATGGGGCTCCAGTGCCGACCCAAGCTGTCCGCACGGACCCCCGAGCCTTTTTCTGCTCGTGCCGATCCCCCCACCCCCTGGTGAGCGACGGAAGGCAATCGGAGGAGGAAAAGGCACCCATACCGCTACACTTCCATCGTTTTCGCTTTTTCGGGCCTCCTGGGAGGCCCTCGTCGCCACCGCTGGATTCGCCTCGAAATCCCGGCCAGAACGCGCCCCGGGAGAGGTCCAGGGAGTAGCGGTATCGGTACTTTTTTTGGTTCCCCAGGAAACGGGGTCGATTAAGCGGACATTTCCGAGCAAGGTGCCCGCATAATGTCGCGCGTAGGTCCCCTGTTCTCCACGCGGTATGCCACGCTGGCGGCCCTTGTAAGCCGCGGCCGAAGGTCGCCAGGTCTTCTCGCGCAAGACTATTTTTTCCCACCCATCCTGTGGTGTTGGGTCCTCGTTTTGAAGAGACGGTCCCCGCGTTCCTGAATTCTCTCCTTCCTCCTCCCCCTCCTCCTCCCATCCCTGCCTCTGCCCTGCGCATGTCCTCAGCGCTTCGTGGCTCCATAGGGAGCTCCACCTAAGGTCCCCATGGCGGTGTCCACATGCGTCCCCCCCACCCAGCACAACGCTTCGTGGCTCCATAGGGAGCTCCACGTAAGGCCCCAGTAGCGGTGCCCACATGCATCTCCCCCATCCAGCACAGCGCTTCGTGGCTCCATAGGTTGCTCCACCTAAAGCCCCAGTGGCGGTGTCCACATGCGTCTCCCCCACCAAGCACAGCGCGTCGTGGCTCCATAGGGAGGTCCACCTAAGGTCCCAGTGGCGGTGTTCACATGCGTTTCCCCCACACAGTACGGCGCTTCGTGTCCCCATAGGGTGCTCCGCCTACGGTCCCAGTGACGGTGTCCACATGCGTCTCCCCCATCCAGCACAGCGCTTCGTGGCTCCATAGGGAGCTCCACCTAAGGTCCCAGTGGCGGTGCCCACATGCGTCCCCCCCACCCAGCACAGCGCCTCGTGGCCCCATAGGGAGCTCCACCGAAAGGTCCCAGCGGCGGTGTCCACATGCGTCTCCCCCACCCAGCACAGTGCTTCGTGACTCCATAGGAAGCTCCACCTAAGGCCCCAGTGGCTGTGTCCACATGCGTCTCCCCCACCCAGTACGGCGTGTCGTGGCCCCATTTGGGTGCTCCAGCTAAGGTCTAAATGGCGGTGTCCACATGCGCCTCCCCCCATCCAGCACAGCGCCTCGTGGCTCCATAGGGAGCTCCACCTAAAGCACCAGTTGCGGCACCCAGTACAGCGCTTCGTGGCCCCATAGGGTGCTCCACCTAAGGCCCCAGTAGCGGTGTCCACATGCGTCTCCCCCACCCAGCACAGAGCTTCGTGGCTCCATAGGAAGCTCTACCTAAGGTCCCAGTTGCCGTGTCCTAATGCGCCCCCCCCACCCAACGCAGCGCTTCGTGTCCCCATAGGGTGCTCAGCCTACGGTCCCAGTGACGGTGTCCACATGCGTCTCCCCCATCCAGCACAGCGCTTCGTGGCTCCATAGGGAGCTCCACCTAAGGTCGCAGTGGCAGTGTCCACACGGGTCTCCCCCACCCAGTGCAGCGCTTCGTGGCCCATAGGGAGCTCCACCGAAGGCGATACCCACAATTGCAGTACTCACAAGTGCACATGGTTGGGTCCTTCGCCAGTCTATTTGTCGCTTAGGTGCCAGCAAGAATGTCGTCGTCCGCCGCACCATCACCGGGCACCCCAACGAGCACTTTGGCCTCACGGTGCATCTGCTCGGGGCGGGCGGCAGGGCCGAGTCCGAGCGTGCCGCACAGTCCATGCCCGCGCCGATGAAGGCGCAGCTCCGCGCCAAGTACGGCAAGGGCCGACTGCTCGCCCGCCACGGCCGCATGCTTGCGCTGCGGGGCTCGAAGAGCGAGGAGTCGGAGGGCGCCAACTACGCACCTGCACCGTGCACCGATCCACGAGCGCGAGCAATACCACAAGCATGGATCTTCGGAGGTCCACGCGGATTTCTTGGATCGGCGCTGGACCCCCCTTCCCTGGCGCGCTCTGCGCGCCAGGGACGGCGCCAGAGGCGCCATCAGGGGGGGGGGCTGGGGCGTGGAGTCCAATCAGAAAATACGCGTGAACATAAACTTTCGGAGGTCGCTCAGATTTCTTGGGTCGGCGCCGCGACAACTCCTGCGCCGCCTCTGGCGCCAACGCGGGCGCGCTCCGCGCGCCAGGGAGGGGGGTCCAGCGCCGATCCAAGAAATCTGCACGGACCTCGGAGAGCTTATGTTTGTGCTGTCTTTCCCTCCTGGGCCGGGTCGATCCTGGGCGCAGGATCGGCGTACGAGAAAGTCAGGCCCCACAGCGCGCCCAGGAACCCCAAGAGCGGCCCAGAGCCTCATCAAATGGTCCAAGATGTCCTGGCGCGTGTGTGTGTGTGTGTGTGCTCTCCTGGCCCGCGCCGGGAGGGCTTACGCACCGGCTGCCGTGCCTTGGGCTGGCTTGGCCAGGGTCGGTGTGATCGGTGTCGGTGTGGAGCCAAGACGCTGAGGTACGGACCTTTTGGGGTTCGGAAGGGGCTCGCTGTTCCTTGGAGTCTCCCGTGGCTGTTCCTATAGAGACGGCCATTGGAGGATCCAAGGAGCTCGGGTCCCAGTGGCGTTACTCGTGCACCCATCCGCTCCTGGGCCCCCAAAAATGCTTCGTGCCTGATTTAGCGTTCCTTGTGGTAGCAGTTTGACTGTATGTCTGGTGTCCTCCGGGAGGAGTCCATCCGTGCGGTGGTCTCCGTGTACGAGCGGTCCCAGCCGTACCACCACTTCGTAATGTCGGCGTACGAGCCGCAGACTTCGCGCGAGTGGGAGGTCCTGGCGGACAGCATCGACATCTTCAGGCTCTTCAGCGACCGCGAGGAGAAGCGGGCGCAGGATCTCCGAGGAGAACACCATACCGATGCCGCTGCCCTTCCTCGGTTTCGCCTTGTGGGGCCTCCCGGGAGGCTCTCGTCGCTACGACTGGATGCGCCTCGGATTCCTTGACAGATCGCACCTCGGGTGAAGCTTGGAGATTGGACTCGAATGAGAAATCATGGCATAAGCATGAACTCTCAGAGGTCCGCTCAGATTTTTCGGATTGGCGCCACGACACTCCTTGGGGGCACCTCTGGCCCCGCTCCTGGTGCGCTTCGCGCGCCAGGGATGGGGGTCCAGCGCCGAATCAAGAAGTCCGCGCGGACCTCCGAACGTTGATGCTTATGCTGATTGTTTTTTCCTCTCAGGACCTCGCCAACCCGGTGACCCGCGAGCGGCTGGCCCAGACGCTCGTGCGGTCCCTGGAGCTTTGCGAGCGCGAGAGCGAGCTGGTGCTCGTCGTCTCCCCCGCGGCCGTCCGGGAGCACAAGGAGAAGGAGAAGGTCGAGCACAAGCAGCAGGCGCTCATGGATCGCGAGAAGAACCCGGAGGTCTCGGGCAGGGAATCCAGGGAGGATTACGCGTCGCCGCTGCCACTGGCTGCAGGCAGGGCCAGCCCGCTCCAGGCCTTCGACGCGAGGCCGGCCATCACCAGCACGATCGCGCGCGCCGTCGGCGGCTTCACTGGCGACTACGACAGGGGCGAGGACGTCATGGTCGAAGAGAGCAGCCGCGACCGCCTGTTCACGGCGGTGCGGCGCCTCGCGCTGCGTGACAACGGCGCCGCCGAGCCGTTCAAGATTCAGATCTACGACAACCCGAAGGCGGCCACGTTGCACAGTTACGTGGTGGTCGCGTCCCCTGCGCACGACCAGCCCCTGGCAGCCTCCGGCCTGCCCATCGCGCTGACCGCGGAGCAATTGGCCCCGCCCCCGGACCGGAAGGCGCGCAAGGCGTACACGCTCAAGGTGGACGACCGAACGCTGGAGTCCTTCCTGTGGGACACCACAATTATGGAACCCTCCCGCCAGGAGGAGCTGCTCACCTTCATCTCGGAGTCGCTGCACCTCGACGAGGACGCCACGGGGCAGATGCGGCTGTGCATGCGCAAGAAGAAGTTGAGGGCCCACCAGGTGAAAGAGGCGAAGGCCCGTGCTGGGGAGACAGGCGCGCTGGCACCGGCATCAGATGTGCCAGGCGCTCCAGACGGCTTCGCTTCAAAGTCCCTGGGCGAGGTGGGCGGCACCTTCCCGCTGAACCGTCTCAGGCTGAACCGCGCGCCAGAGGGCAACAAGTCGACGGACCCATCGGGGCCCAGCCTGCAGGGCAGCGACGACAGCGAGGTGTCGAGAATCTTTGTCCGGGGCTGGGCGAAGATATACTGTGTGGCGCAGCGCCTCGGCAGCAGCACGGTCATCATCACAGTGAGCAAGCGGGGGCACACGTACAAGTTGGGCGTATACGAGCCAGAGAGTAGTGCCTTGTACGAGATGTGCCTGGTGACCAACAACTCGTCGAATCCTCTGAACGTGCTGATAGAGCGGTGTGAGCTCTCGACGAGACTAGACTTGATGCTCCTCATGCAGGAGCAGGCGTTCCCACATCAGGTGGTAGTAAACCTGGTTCATATAGGCACCTCCCAGGAATTCCATCTCAAGATTGGTGATGAGCAGGTTTACACGATGATTGAAAATTCACGCAGGGAGGCGTTCCTCCATTTCTTCGATCAGATCATCACGTGGGGTTGCATCGGCTTCCACGCAGCGTCGCCGCTTGAAGAACAAGCGAACGCTGTGTCATTCGAAGAGACATTTGCTGGCAACCAGATGTTCGAAAAGGCGGAGCTCGACGACTTGCTGAACCAGGAGGGCACTATCGGTGGGCCTGGTGGAGAGAGGCGGCATCAGTCGGCCTTGCCGCCCGCCAGGGACAAGAAGCTGCGAGTGCCCGTGATACGTACGCACTTGGATTTTCTTGGCAAGAAAGACCTCACCACCGGCATCACCATGCATCTGCTTTACCACGCCGAGCGAAAATTCAGCAAAGACAACCAAACTCTGTTGGTGCGGGTCCACAAGAGGGTCACCACGAATGACGTGGCTCTCACTCTGCGGGTGCGCTCGGAGGAGGCCTTGGCTCTGCCAGAATTGCCAAGTCACGTCAGGAGCGCCATCTGTCCGACCCCCAGTACTGCCAACGGACGGCCGTTCGAGACGCCAGCGTTGGGATCTGGCGAAGCTTCGGACAGTAGTAGTGAGGTGACCATCTGGCTCCAAGACAAGTGTTCGCGGGCTCCCTGCGGAGCCTTCGGCGAGATCTGCGAAGTGCCTGGCTTCAGCAAGCAGGTCATCATCCTCGCCACCGACGAGGACACCCCCCGTGTCATGCGAATTGCTATCGCTCTCGCGCAGCCGCCTTTCACCGTGCTGTTCCAGGTGGTGCTGCTGGAGAGCTCCGAGCCCTCCGCGAAGGTTGAGCCAGCGACGACGCTGAAGCACAATGCTGGGCGGAAGGTTCTGCACTCCATGTTCCAGCACTACATGGGGGTGAAGCAGGGCCAGCAGCAGGCGGTGGTGAGCCACCTGACTGGGGCGGCCTCCTCCGCGCGCAGCGCAGACCTTCGCCAGAAGCTCGACGACATCAGCCCGCCCGAGGGGCCGATCAAGGCCATGGGCGTGGAGCAGGGCAGCGGAGCCGGCGGGCCGCAGAGGACGTCGGGCCGCTCGCAGGACGAGCCGGTGGACGTGGGGGTGGTGCACATGGCCACGCGCCGCAAGCTGGGCCGCATGATGGTCTTCACGGTGTACCGAGACCTCATCTCGAAGAGCAGAGAGCGGCACAGGCATAGGCTTTCGGAGGTCTGTGCGGACTTCTACATGCAGCCTTAGGATGAGGATAACTCGCCCGAGTTCTGGAACGCTCTCAGAGCTCTCTGGAGCGCTTCGAAACGGTCGCGGCGCACGATGCCTCCTCCAAACTTGGCGGCTCTTAGACACTCCCGATTTCTCCTCGTCCGGATCTATATCATTATCTTGCCTTCGTATTGTTTCTTGGGTCGGCGATGGTTCCTCCTTCCCTTTGCGCGCTTCGCGCGCCCCAGGGCCGCGCGGGCGTGTGACAGTTTATGTTGGTGCAGCTTTTCTGGTCTTCTGTCGTAGCCCAGAACATGTACCTGCGCGTGGTCATGCACGACCCGACGACCAGCCGTGACTTCCACCTCAGCCTGCTGCACTACACGACACAGCGCTTGCTGAACACCCTGCGCATCAACCGCGACATGCTCGAGGACCAGAAGAACTTCGACAGCGAGGCTGACAAGGTGGAGCGCCAGCAGCTTCGCTGTGAGCTCGGAAAGCTGATCGTGGACCACCTGTACTTGGTCAGGGTCAACGGTGGTGAAGGAGCGGCGCAGGAGGAGGTGATAGATGATCTGGATCCGGGTGACGACGACGACGACGAGATTGAGTACGAGCTGCGCATGCGGGACATGATGGACTCCAGTCTGTCCGCCGACCTCACGGTGAAGCAGAAGCTCCTGAACGTGACCAGGGAGCAGCGGTCTCCTTCGGGGCAGGCTGTGCTGGGCAGACCATCGTCGCACTCTCTCCGGCCCGCTGCATCACTTGCCCCTTCCGATGGGCGGAGGGGCCTGCTCCTCACTTTCAACCGCGGGCGCCTCTTCCACCCTTCCCTCGTCTCTGTCCTCTTCCTCTAACCACCCCTCATCTTCCTCTTCCCTGCTCCTCCTCCTCCTCCTCCTCCTCCTCCTCCTCCCTCTACCTGTCTCTATCCCACGTGCTCCCTCGTGCTTCCTCAGTTGTCTTTCCTTCTTCCTCCTTCTCGTCCCGTCTCCTCCTCCACCTCCTTTTCCCATCCCTGCACCCTCCTCCTCGTTCTTCCCTCCCTCCCTCCCGCTCCCTCCTGCCTGAGGGGGAGGGGCGAGGAGGATGGCATTAGTGGTCTTGGTGAGGGTCTTGGCGAGGGTCTGGCAAGGCTGTCGCCAGATTGGACGACGCGCCGGAGGTGTCGGGCCCCAGGACGATCCTGGACATGAAGGACCCCCGAGGGAGGATGGAGGAGGGGGTGGCGAATGTCCAGCTACGCGTGCGGGTGACCCTTCGCTCGAGTGACTTGTGGCGCGGCGGACCAGCAGGGGTGTTTCCAGCAGTGGCCTGCGCGCTTGGATTCGCCCCCCCCCTCCCCCTTCCCCTTCCCCTCCCCCCCGCGGCCCCTTACAGCCGCGCACCAAAGTTAGATCTTGCCTAGGGATAATAATGGTTGTGATGATGATGATGATGCTGACGACGATGACGACGATGATGATGGTGATGGTTACGCTGATAATGAGGATGGTGGTGATGATCATGGTGATGATGATGGTGATGATGGCGATGGCGATGATAACGGTCGCCATGATGATGATGATGATGTTGATGCAGCAGCTGAATGTGTTGTTGTTGATGATGGCGTTGTTTTTGATGATGATGTTGCTGATGATGATGATGATGATCATGACGATGCTTATGATGAGGAAGATAATGATGAGGATTGTGATGCAGATGCTGATGCTGATGCTGCTGCCGCTGATGATGATATGATGATGAGGATGATGATGAGGATGCTGATGCTGATGCTGACGCTGCTGCTGCTGAGGAGGAGGAGGAGGATGCGGATGATTATGATAATAATGATAAGCATGATGATGCTGATGGTGCTGCTGCTGCTGCTGCTGCTGCTGATGATGATGATGATGATGATGATGATGATGATGATGATGATGATGATGATGATGATGATGATGATGATGATGATGGTGATGGTGATGGTGATGATGGTGATGGTGACGAGGAGGAGGAGGAGGAGAAGGAGGAGGAGGAGGAGAAGGAGGAGGTAGATAAGGAGGTTCCGAGGCGGTGAAGATGGATATAGTCGGGAGCCCTGGGGCCTGAATGTGTTCAAATCCATCGTCGCCCCTGGGGTCCTGGCAGATCTAGTCCCCCCCTATGGGGAGCATGTATAGTTGTTGAACGTTTCGCGTGCCCCCACCAGCCCATCCAGAGACGATCGCCATGCGAGTTGACCTGATCAGGGAAATCTGAGAGCATCCAGCGGAACAGTCAGGTGAGCCAGCCGTCAAGCCGAAGCCTGGACTCAGTCTGAGCATGCCCAGGAGTGGATCTGTTGAGCCTACCGGCGAGGGAGGATGCGGATGAGAACCTAGAATACGAAGAGGGGGACGAGGGAGGAGGAGGAAGAGGAAGGTTTGAGGAGGAGGAGGAGGAGGAGGAGAAGGACGATCGGGAGGAACAGGATGGAGGAGGAAGGGGGCGGTGACGACGTCAACCAGGGGGAGGGAGGAGGAGGAGGAGGAGGAGGAGGAGGAGGAGGAGGAGGAGGAGGAGGAGGAGGAGGAGGAGGAGGGGAGGAGGAGGAGGAGGAGCAGGAGGAGGAGGAGGAGCAGGACGACGAGGACGACGACGACTTCGACGGCAGCAGCGAACCACAACGTCCTTCGCGGATCTTCGCTCTGAGAGCCTCTGGGAGCCATCTCTCGGCTTTCTTGGGGCACTCCGGGAACCGTCCCCGACGGCGGGTTCACTGTCACTGCCAGCGGCCAGGACGCAGGTATTCTGCTGCTGTGCATCTGGTGTGTGGGGCCTTTCGAGCCCTCTCGCGGCCATCTTGGAGGCCATCGGAGAAACGGGGGCGGCGTGAATTAGCGGCGCCCCTCTGGAGCCCAATATATTGTTTCTTGGAGCCCCCCCAGGGTCGCCTTGGACTTCAGTTCTGGACCCCCCCTGGGGCTCCCCGGACGATCTTGGACCATCTGGAGGCCTTGTGAGTCCTTCGGCGCGAAAAGACCAGAACACACAGCATTTTTGATATACTGTCTGGCCACTTGGAGCCGTGGCAATTCTGAGTCGTCTTGTGCTTATCTTGAGGCCTCTGGGAGGCATGTCGGAGGTTATTTTTTTAACAAATTTGGAATATCTTGAGCCATCTGGGAGCCCGCGTGAGCCATCTTGAATTTCCTGACGCCTCGCCGCCTACCCCTCCCCGTCCAGACCGAGTGGAGGGTGTGGATGGAGAGGGCATGATGGAGGTGGAAGAGCAAATCACTTCTTCCACCCACACCCAAATGGGTCGGTAGGATTCTGGACTCTCAGAGGAAGCGGAAGAGGTATCAAGAGCAGGACCAGGAAAGGTGGGAGGAGCGAGGAGTGATGAGGAGTAACGGGAGAGGAGGGAATAACGCTAGGGTCATTAGCAGGAGGGGGAGAAGGAGGATCAGGAGAGAGGGAGATGAGGAGGATGATGATGATAAGATGGCACTTGCGCTTGACTTGGGTTGTCGGTGTGGGTGTTTGAAGCGCAGCCGTGGAGGAATCCAGCTTGATCTACAAGGCCGAGAAGATCATTGGCGGACGCCGGGTGCTGATCGCCTTCTACAACGAGACCAGGCAGGAGGACGTTCTGAACTACTCGCACAATTTTAGGATCGTCGTGGCGTCCGTGCAGTCCCTGGAGATCCTTGCCTTCCAGGACTTCCACGAAGATACCCTGGAGTTCGTCTGCTCACGGCGCGGGAAGAGCCACCTGATGTCGGCTGCCCGAGAGCAAGAATTGGTGCTCGAGTTGTGGGAGTGCCTGGCGTTGCAGCACGTGGGACAGAAGATCACCGGCATCACCTTCGCCGGCATGGACTGATCGGGCTGTAGACACAGACGCTGGATCCTGCCTTCTTCTTGATTTTCGCCCGAAGATGAACAAACGGCACAAGCATACACTTTGAGAGTTCCGTACGGATTTCTGGGATCGGTGCTGGGCCCCTCTGGCGACGAGGGGGGTCCAGCGCGGATCCAAGAAATCCGCGCGGAACTCCGACATCTTATGTGTATGCAGTTCTTTCTTTCTATATTCCAGACTCCTCTCGCTTCGCTGGGTGCACGTCTGGAACGCGTAGAGTGTGGACGTTGCGATCGCATATTGTGGCGTGAGAAAGAGGAGACCTTTTGGAGGTCTCCTCTTGGTGTCTGTCGCGGGGCCTGTTGGAGGCCTCTTGGTGTTTCTTTTGGGGGGGGGAGGGGTTCTCGGGAGCTTCCTCGTGACCTCTTGGGGGGCTTATGAGGTTCTCTAGACGGCGTCTTGGCGGTCTTGGGTGCCATCTTGGGGGAGGGGGTTCCCAGGCCCCTTCTGCACAGTCTTGTGGGGGGCCCTCTTGGGGCCTTCTTGGGTCGGTCTGGGGGGGCTCTTTATCCGTCTTGGATTGCCATAAGCCCGAAAAGGCGAAAACGTTTGTGTGTGTGTGTGGTCTTGGTCGCTCTGCGTGACTCCGCCGCGTCGCTGCGCGCGTGGCCGCAACGCCAAATCCGTATTGTTGTTGTGGTTGCGGTTGTGATTGTGGTTGTGGTTGTTGTTGTTGTTGTTGTTGTTGTTGTTGTTGTGATTTTTGTTGTTGGTGTTGCCGTTGCTGTTGCTGTTGTTGTTGTTGTTGCTGCTGCTGTTGCTGTTGCTGTTTCTGTTGTTGTTGTCGTTGCTGTTGAATATGTAGTTCAGAAGAATAATTATTGTTGATGCCCCCGTCCGGTGCACATTGTTTTTTCATTGAAGTGCCCCCCCGGGGCCCGTACCCGCTTTTTAACAAGGGAAAGTCTTGAGCGTCAAACTGCGCCCCCAGCCCCCGAGTTACAACAACAACGGATCCCGCCTGGGATTTCCTCACGATTTATCACACACGGGGCGTCCTCCCAATCTATACAGGAATCGCGCTCCCGCGTGGGATTTCCTCGCCTGTTATTCAGACGCCGCGCCCTCGACACTCGGGAATCACGCTCTCGCTGTGGATTTCCTCATTCCCTACCTAGGCTCTGCCTAGAAGGGTTCTTACTGTGTTCTCTTAAAGGGCCGGGCAGTGCAAATCGCCCTGGGCGGTTCCCCCGGCATCCGCCCCGTGGTTCCCCCAGTTACGTCCCTTTAGCTTAGCGTTGCTTATCTCATCTTAGCTTAGCTTATTTCATCTTAGCTTAGCTTAGTTTCATCTTAGCTCAGATTTATCTTAGCTTAGCTTACCTTCATCTTAGTTTCGCCGAGCTTTAGCATAGCAGATCACAGCATAGCATAGCAGAGCGTAGCACAGCATAGCGCAGCACAGCATACCATAGCATAGCATAGCACAGCATAGCGCATCATATCATAGCATAGCATAGCATAGCGCAGCACAGCACAGCACAGCTCAGCACCGCGCAGCATAGCATAGCATAGCATAGCAGAGCATAGCATAGCACAGCACAGCATAGCACAGCAGCAAAGCAAAGGCAAAGCAACAGCAGCGACAGCAAAGCAAAGCACAAGCAACGTAAATCAAAGCAAAGCAAAAGCAAAAGCAAAGCAAAGGAAAGGTAAAGCAAAAGCAACCGTTCCTCTGGTGGCAAATAGAACTCCTAGGGGCTCCAACTTCTAGGGGCCGAGAGGTGGAGACCCTGGGGCGAGAAGTGGAGAGCTGGCGCTCCTAGAGCATAGCATAGCGCAGCATATCATATCATAGCATAGCATAGCGTAGCGCAGCTTAGCATCGCATAGCATAGCATGGCGTAGCTGAGCATAGCACAGCGCCGCATGGCATAGCATAGCTTAGCATGGCATTGCATAGCATAGCATAGCATAGCGCAGCATAGCATAGCATAGCATAGCATAGCATAGCGCAGCATAGCAAGGCATAACATAGCATAGCATAGCAGAGCAACTAATGCTGCTTTCCTAGGGGCTACATCTTCTAGGTAGGGTCGCACTGGGGTAATGACTGATTTGGGAATCGCGCTGTCGCTCGAGACTTCCTCGCGATTCATGCAAGACGCACGCTTCAGCAACCCGCCTGCTCGACCTGGCCGCCTGGGCCCGCCTTCCCGACCCGCCCGTTAGGTCTATCCGCCAGATCTGCCCGTCTGGTTCTGCCTCGCATTTTCTGTTCCGACCTCCTCTCCTGCAACTTTATCTCGTGTTCCATTCTCCTCCCCCTTGTCCCTTCCTTCCATCCATCACGAAGAGGGCGGGTATCGAAGGTTTGGGATATACTTGTTGACTGGCCCGCGAGCAGATAAGAGCGAACAGTCTTCAAACTAGTATTGCTTTTGTTGCTGCTGCTGCTGTTGTTGTTGTTGAACATTATTACTTCTAAAGAATAATTATTGTTGGGACCCCTGGTGCACGACCCCCCCGCCGCGCCTAGGCCGCAGCCTCATTTCCATCATTTTCGTGAGGAAGTCTCAGGCAAAACGGGTTGGTCCGGATCCGGTTGTGTTGTTACGATCGGTTTTCCCTTGCAAAAAATAAGCTAAAGTGGGCATTTCTTGTTCTAACATAACCAAACTTCAAGAATCCCTTGCAAAAAATAAGGTAAAGTGGACATTCGCGCGCGCAAGACGAAATCCTTCCAAAACCTTAGTTTTCGTAGCGATTTTAACATAAAAACATCAAAAAACCAATGGTTTTTCAAAAAAAATGTCAAAATTTCATCCCGCGCGCTCTTGCGGATTCGTAGGAAACCCAACACTTTTTAATCATTTCTGTCAAACGGGCTTTTGCGAGCAACTTTTTCGAACTTCTGCAACAACGGTTGCGCACCTGCCAGGGCCATCATCCCTGTCAAATAATACCATGCGGGACACATTCGTTTTTTCTTCGCGCGCGCACGCCGTCGTCGTCGGCCGCGGGGCCCTGAATAGTAGCCACGGTCGTCCGCATGCCACGAAGTGAAGTGTCCGAACGTCATAGGGCGGGAAGCTGGGTGTGGGTGGTGGCGAAGAGTCGTTTGGAAATTTGGTAGAGCTTGAACCGGCCCCCCCACAAAGTGGGGGTATTGCCCGCCTCCTATGAAAACCCTGGCACTGGTGAGAACGGTGTGTCCCCACGTGCTAGTAATTGTTGTTGTTGTTGTTGTTGTTGTTGTTGTTGTTGTTGTTGTTGTTGTTGGTGGTGGTGGTGGTGTTGCCGCCGTCGTCGTCGTCGTCGTTGTTGTTGTTGTTCGTTGCGACGACCGTCCCGGCCCCAGCTTGTTGTTGAGATCTTGTTCTTCTTGGGAAATGATAGTTTATCATTCGTGGTAAATGGAAACTTGGAGCTGGCGGAGCTTATCCCCCCCCCGGGGCCGGGACGGGTGCCTGCACTGCTTTGTGAATTTCGGCGTTAGGCGGGTTGTAAATTTGTACTAGCAGGTATACAGAATTTACATAACTTCGTGACCGCCGCCGTAGCCGAGACTCATGCAACTATGCCATCAAAAAGTTGCAAATTATTGTAACTGTTGTAACTCTTTGTAACTATTCTTCACGCTTCGCGTATCCCCACCAGCCCATCTCAAAACAGCAACTCTAGCGAAGCATGCCGACAGTCGTGTTTGTCAGGCGTGTTTCCGCCTGCCCCCGCATATCTCCCCTGTTCCTGCTTCCTCCCGCCTCCTTGTACATCCTCCTTGTGGTGGGAGCGGGAGAAGGACGAGGCGGAGGAGGAGGGAGAGAAAACGCTCCTCGTGGTTTGAGTCGTTCGGGCTTCTGTCGTTCGGGTTCCTCGTGGTGTGAGTCGTTCGGGCGCCTCGTCCTGGTGTGAGTCGTTCGGGCCCCTCCTTGTGGTGTGAGTCGTTCGGGCTCTTCGTGGTGTGAGTCGTTCGGGCCCCTCGTCCTGGTGTGAGTCGTTCGGGCTCCTCGTGGGGCCTCTTGGGGGCCTCTTGGAGCCTCTTGGGGCCTCTTGGGGGCCTCTTGGGGGCCTCTTGGGGGCCTCGTGGGGGCCTCTTGGGGCCTCTTGGGAGCCTCCTGGGGGCCTCTTGGGGGCCTCGTGGGGGCCTCTTGGAGGCCTCTTGGGAGCCTCCTGGGGGCCTCTTGGGGCCATCTTGGGGCCTCTTGCGACCTCCTCAGAAGCGCAAGTGAGCGCTGCCCCCTGAGAAGGACAAAATGAGCCCAAAACCTTAGTCAAATCCATGATTTTGCTATGAAGGAAGAGGAGCGCTGCCCCCTCAGAAGGCCAAAATGGGGCCGAAACCGAAGTAAAATCAATGATTCTGGCTTCAAAGAAGAGGAGAGGGTTTTTTTGGCGCCCTCCCGTCGGGGGCAGAATCCTCGTGAGGGGTGTCGTTTTTTAGCCCTCCCAGGAGTCGAAATTGACCCCCCTGACGACCCGCCGGGCCCCCTCTCCAGGCCCAGGGGGAGGGGGTAGGGGGAGGGGTAAACCCCTCCCCGAAGGGGAAGAAGGGGGGTTGAGGACAGAGAGAGCTCGCTAAACCACTCACGCCCACAGGGCTGGTGGGATTTGTGTCAGTTTTGTAGCGTATTGTAACTGTTTGCAACTCTGTGTAACTCTTTCCAGACGTGCCCATCGAGAGCCCGCTTTACCAAGGGATCCGCCCTCCATCCGTGTAGTTGTCGCCTCAGGGAAGCTTGCATGTGGCGGGGTGGCCGTTACTGCGGTGCCGTGTCCCCCTCGCATCAGCTACGCCCCCAAAGTGACGGGCATGGAGCTCTTGCCCTGGCCAAGCGGCGCAAGGGGGGAGCTCCAGCCGATCGGCCGAAAATGCCACGGCCGCGGCCAGGGCCACGGCCGCGGCCACAACCACGGCCACGGCCACGGCCACGTAGCCCACGACCACGGCCACCGCGGCCATGGCCACCACGTCGCCACCAGGGCCACGGCCACCTGATGATGATGAGGATGATGAGGAG